GGGAGGCAGAGCCAGGCGGATCTCTGTGAGTTCGAGGCCAGCCTGGGCTACCAAGTGAGCCCCAGGAAAGGCGCAAAGCTATGCAGAGAAACCCTGTCTCGAAAAACCAAAAAGAAAAAAAAAAAAATACTCATGTAATCATATAATATATATGTGTTCATATATACACAGAGAGACTAAATGACGTATCCATCATTGGTCAATAATGCTCCCCACAAGAGTCATAGACTACCTAACAAAAAGCCCAGCACTAGACATGAGAAGTTTCCCTTTGAGTTGTTGGTCAGTGGGAAGGGACTCCCCAGTATAAAATATTTCCATTGCCCTTGGTTGCTCCTTTAAGTTCTTCGAACTATCAGAGAATGAGAGGAGGTAAAAATCCTATTGTAAACCCAACATGTTTCAATTACTGGAGTTGTATTTACCTGTAAAGTTCCTGATTTCATTTTTCTTTACTGCTGAGTAGTATTCCATTGTGTACATGCACCATTTATTTCCATTATCCATTCATTTGTTAAAGGACATTTAAGTTGTTTCCACTTCCTGGCTATTGTACATAGGGAAGCTATGAACATTGCTGGGCAAGTGTATGTGGAGAAGGATGTCCAGTCCTTTGGGCATGTGCCAAGGAGTGGAATAGCTGGCTTATATGGTAGGTTTATTTCTAGGTTTGGTTTGTTTGTTTGTTTGTTTGTTTGTTTGTTTGTTTGAGAGATCCCATTCTGTGAGCTTCTTTTTCATTGGATGGATTGTTTCCTCAGCCATACAAAACTTTTAGTTTTATGAGGTTCCATTTGTCAAGTGTTGGCCTTAACTCCTGGGCAAATGGAGTTCTATTCAGAAACCCCCCTCCTCCATCTGTATGTTATAGAGTACTGCTTGTGTTTTCTTCCAGAAGATTTAGCGTTTCGGACTTCAAATTGAGGTATTTTATCCACTTGGATCTAATTTTTGTTCAGGCTTATAAATATAGGTCTAATTTCATTCTTCTACATGTGGACTTCCAGAGTTAAAAGGCATTTGAATTTCATAATTACTGAAAAATGACCATGAACATCACAAGCTTAGTGAAGTAAATTGTGGCCAAAATAATGAGAGGATGGAAACATGTTTTTATTTACATTAAAATATAATTATATAATTTTTCCACTTACTTTTTCCCCTTCAGCCCTTCCCATGTAACATTGTTCGTGTGTGTGTGTGTGTGTGTGTGTGTGTGTGTATTTCTAAATATATAGTAGAATAAGATAGAAAAGACCAAATATTAGACACTGGTTTATTGATTTACTTAGTCATTCACTTACAGCACTGCCTGTACTGCCTATTTCTCAGCATGAATTCACTTGCTACCTGGAAAAGGATGAACTGGAGAAATAGCCGAAACAATGGATTGCTGTTCTCAACAACCTGACCAATCTCACTTGCTTGCTTACCCCACCTTGTGGTTTTAGAGCATAAAATAAGAGTAGAAACATCCTAATATCAGAGGCCTTGCAGGAGCTAGTCTGGTTCAGCCACTGGCGAATACATCTCCTCTCTCACACTCTCAGTGGTGTTGGAGTGCTTACTCCAGAAAGACTCCCACAACAAATACATAAATACAGCCTATTCTATCCATATACTGTTACTTGTGTGTATATGATTTCAAAGCTCTATTGGATAATCAATTTGGGGGCTCTTCCCTAAGGAAGATTACTTCTTCCACTCTCATAATTCCTTAGTTGCCTGTAGTTCTTTATTTTGGGTGAGATTTAACATTTTAATTAGAGCATGTCTATGATGCCTATGTGCGGCACGCTCCTCAGCCAGCGAGGAAGAACGACCACCATGCGAGGATCCTTCTCAGAACACACTTTATTGGAGCGCCTCTTGGTTAAGGGAGAGCGGGAGGTGAGGGGCCCCGAGGACTAAACTGCAGCTGCTTGTATAGGAAATAAGGCAAACGTGCCGTACTGTGATTGGGTCCCGCCAGAATGCTAGCACGGGGAGCCACGGGATAGGCTGAGGACATAAGACCAATTACCATACTCGTGCATCATAGCCAAATATGGAGTTGTTTACAGCTAGGCTACCAGGAAGCCAGCGCCATCTTAGAATGGCGGCTCCCTACACCTATGGACAAAAACAATGACCAACATGACATGATATCCCTAAGGGTGTAATAGTGGCACTCATATCTTGGTAGTGACCAACAGCCCTCTAATTGGACTTAAGACCCACTTAACAAGAGGGACATCATGCCTGGTACTGGAAACCTAGCCAAGTATCAGGAGCTGGTGAAATCATGGGTGATGGAGGAGAACTTATAGCCACTGGTTTACTAAACCAGAATAATCCCTAACGCCCTTAAATATTTATTCTTATACCACAGATAAGTATCAACCTTACCCCCCATCAAAGATGAGAAAGTTTTAAGGAGATGAAGTAATAGAAATTTGCAATTGTGCAGTGATTATTTCAATACCAGTTTAGATTTCAAAATGAGTCATTCCAACCATAAAAACAGTGGAATAATTTTGTAATCACAGAAAAACAGATCAAATTCAAAGTTTATAGAAAATAATGAAAGATAAGTAAAGTTCTGGAAAGTGCCAATTTTTATAACTCTGGATGATATGATTGAACTGCTAGAGCTATTGGAAATGTTCTGATACTTTTTCAAATCTAATTTTATTAGCTGACATTGCCAAGGAATGCATCAAGTTAAAATGAAAATGTTGTGCAATGTGTCCTTCAGCAGCAGCCACCAAGTGCTCAGTGTTATTAACAACAGGCACCTTTTTATCCGCAGGGAACTTAGTCTCTGTGCTTTGTAAAGAAAAGGGGTCAAGTCAGTGAACAGTGCCCTCCATTTATTGCTGACTTTTTCCAAAGCTCTGGGTATTTGAGCTGACGAATACAGACCCAGTTTTCATTTTCCGAAACAACATTAGTTTGCTGCACCATTGGGTGAAATCCAAGCATTTAGTCAAGCTTGTTTCCCTTGCTGCCTGGCTTAGCACACGTAATGAGAATTATGTCTTTCACGTCCATGCCAGCTTGAATACATTAGATACAAGAATAACAGAGTCAGCACTCTATCAAGATAGACAAGCCTGCAGAAAATAATCTCGGGCAGCCTTACCCAGGTGGCATTTGGCTTCGAAGCACCATGGCTAATGAACCACAGAAAACTAATGATGGACTACAGTTTTATATTAGTCTCATAAAATTTTATAATTTAAACTATTCAATCCATTTGTTCTACTTAAAATCCATTTGTTCCCTTAAGCAGTGTTACCTTAAGACTTTCTGACAATATACTCAAGTATTTTTTAATCTTAAAAATAAATATGGCCGGGCGGTGGTGGCGCACGCCTTTAATCCCAGCACTCGGGAGGCAGAGCCAGGCGGATCTTTGTGAGTTCGAGGCCAGCCTGGACTACCAAGTGAGTTCCAGGAAAGGCACAAAGCTACACAGAGAAACCCTGTCTCGAAAAACC